GCGCGGCACCTCTGCGAGCACCCGGGCCTCGTCCGGGGCAAGAGCGTGGTGGAGGCCCCCTCGGCACAGTCGGGGTCCCGCGCAAACCCAGAGATCCAACGTATGGACAAAATGATCACGGATGCTTTTCGCCTGTTTCGGCCCCCTCGCCAGGCCCCGGGACCCCGGGCAAGAGCGTGGTGGAGGGCCCCGCCGGCACAGTCGGGATCACGCAAACCCAAGGGTTCCAGCGCATTGAAAACATGATGGCGGAGGTTGTTCGCATTTTTCGGCCTCTACAAGCGCCGCCTTCGCCGGGCCCGGGGACCGTCAAAAAACGACGCAGGATGAAGATCCAGCCCCGGGGAAAGGGTAGGGACTGCCCGGGACCCCGTATTGACAAAATCACGACATCGGATTTGTGGGAAGGGTGTGTGTGTGAGAGAGAGAGCCTCGATGTGTGTGTGTGTGTGTGAGAGAAAGAGGGCTCGATCGGTTATTGCACCGAACCGCCCAACACATATTCCCCCCAGCCGCCAGCAGCTCCCGCTAGTTGCCGATGGGTGGGGCATACGGGGGGCATTTGTTTGCGGCAGCTGGGTGCACAAACGGATCGAAGTCATGCCCCCCCTCAGGATCACCCACCTTTTGGTGGATCCCGGCCCGGCACAGCTCGAGTTGCGCGCGCGGGGCGGAGGCCCCGAGATGCCCCCAGAGCTCCGAGGCTCCCCAGCGAGATCAAAGGTTGGCGTCCCCAGAGATCCGAGGATGATGGGCCTGTTTTCCACCACCACCACCACCACCACCACCACCACCACCATAAGTTGGAGGGGGGAAGAACGTGGAGGAGGAGGAAGAGGAAGAGGAAGAGGACCCCCTCCCCCTCCTACTTCTGGTGGTGGCGGTGGAAAACAAGCCCACCATCGGAGGATGTGTTTTTTCCATCAGCAGTCTTTCCTGGAGCTCGGCCTCTGGGGCCCGTTGTCGGGCCCCGGGGCCATCAAACATGGATCCGGGACACGCGGTAGGTTCGCGTCGTGTCGACCAGCGGCGACACCGCCAGCTGCGTTCGACTTTGAACGCCGCGGGCGACTCAGAATCGTTCGACGTGGAACGATTTGGATTCCCTCCTCCTCCTCCTCCTCCTCCTCCTCCTCCTCCTCCTCCTCCTCCTCCTCCTCCACTCGCAGGCCGTCCTCCTCCTCCTCCTCCTCCTCCTCCTCCTCCTCCTCCTTGGACGTCTCGGGAACG